GAAGAAGAAGAAGAAGAAGAAGAAGAAGAAGAAGAAGAAGAAGAAGAAGAAGAAGAAGAAGAAGAAGAAGAAGAAGAAGAAGAAGAAGAGAAGAAGCTGAGGGAGAAGACCCAGCCCCAAAGGCAGGAAAGAACAGATCACCCTAACACCAAGCAGAGTGTGCAAGGGCTCATTAGTCCATTTAATCCATTCCATCTCCTCCATCCTGTAGAAAAAGTAGCCTGAAAAGCTCAGGGACACCTAGAGAGGGATGGGTGGGGACCACAGGGCTTGAAGAGGCACCCTAGGTGTCTAGGCTTGTTCTCCCTCTCAAGGCCTCTTCTGTCTCCTTCTCCACCATGCTGGCAGCTTACGGCGCATGTACATCATCAACAATGAAATCTGCTCCCGGCTCGTCTGTAAGGAGCATGAAGCCATGAAAGGTGAGATGGTGTCGGAGTGTTCGACAGGGAGAGACAGACACAGAGACGGGCTGCAGGCCACGGCAGCGCTGCTGTAGCTCAGGTCTAGTTGAGGCGTAGCCCGCGGCTTTCCTAGCTCCCACCAGCCCCTGCAGGAAGTGGTCCCCAATAAACAAGGCCAGGAGTATGTCCCATGCACACACACAACCCTAACAAAGCTGCTGGGGCACTAGATGCCTTTCTGGTGAGATGGAGCTCTTCTGCTTGTATAGAGCATTTTTTAAAGCTCTGACTGCTTTAAAGGCCACAAGAAAAGGGACACACACACACACCCACACACACACATTCACACACACACACACATTTGGAGATGGTAAGGTTTGGATAAAGTCTATAAAAATATACAGTAGAGGGCACTTAGAAATCAACTACCTTATAAACCACTCACCAGTGATGCCAGGAAGCATTTACATTGCTTTCTGTGAGGTTGCCCAGGTAGAAAGACTTTGTAAGAACCACTTTACAAGAGTCCAAAGTGTGGTTCTAGACCACGCGTGGTGGGAACAAACATTTCTCACCTCACCCTCGGACAGCCCCGGAGCACGGCTGTGGTCCAGGCAAGGCCACAGACAGGGCCCCTTCTGACTCAGCAGCTGCCTGGCTCTGAGCTACTGAGTCAGAGCTGGAGTCCCCATCTCAGGAGGAAACTTGCCCGGCCCCTGGTGGCTTTGTGCAAGCCACCTGCCAGGGAAGCACCTTGGGCCTGAGGACAAGTGTTTGGGACAATGGGCCCTTTCAGGTATCTCGAGGGACTTGCTAAAGTTAGCTCTTTGCACACAGTAAACATGAAGTGGACACGGAATGACTGGACCTCATTTTCTATTTAGAAGGCCCCTGACTAGCAGAATAGGGAAGGGAGAGAAAGGAAACTACCACTCACTGACCACCTGCGCTGGGCCCCCGGCACAGGCTGTACTCACGCTGCTGAGGTGGGCGTGCTCGTGCTTGTTTTATAGAAAGGGATAGTGAAGTTCACCAAAGGAAAGGAACTTTCTAGTAAGTGGTAACTAACGAGCAGGTGGCAGAGCTGAGGTGTCAGCCCAGATCTTTTTCTCTTCAACATAACTACTGGGCCACACTGCAAACACAGTCTTCTCTCCTCCTTCTAGTAGAGCCCCCTCATCTCCTACATGGTCCCTGACCTGACCCTCTGCTTCCCTGCAGATGAGCTGTGCCGGCAGATGGCCGGTCTGCCCCCCAGGAGACTCCGCCGCTCCAACTACTTCCGCCTGCCGCCCTGTGACGATGTGAATTCGCAGAGGCCCCGTGGTCTGTGATCGCCAAGGAAGACGAAAGCCAGAAAAATGGGAATTCTGCTTCTCCACGGTCCGCTAATCCAGAGACTTCAGTATTTCTTAAGCTGATCCTCTTATAATTTTCCCCCTTTGCCCCTACTCCCTAATTTTTTAGAGACCCGTAACATTTATCTCAGATTTCAGTATTTTATATGTAACTGTTGCATAATTTTGCTGCTTCCCAATATCATAGGCATAGTGGATATATGATGACCACCTGGCTGCTTCTACATACTGTTTTCAGGAGAGAAACATATATATATGTATATATATATATATATATATATATATATATATTTTTTTTTTTTTTTCTTTCCCTTATGGTGCTAAGAATTAACCCCAAGGCCTCATGAATGCTAGGTAAGAGCTCTGGGACTGAGCTACAGCCCCAACTTTTAGGCTAATAACTTTATCTTTTCAATCTGCTGACCATAGATTTTAGGAAAGAGGTGCTGTTCTCCTCTGGCTTGGCTGGCCATAGAGTGTCTCCTCTTTTCCTTTTCTGGTTCCTACACTGACTTTAGTGTCTCACGTTTTGCCAGGGAGGTCTTTTTGATGAGGTGGAGGATAGTAATTGTCGTAGTCCTAGGGGACTGCCCAACAGAGCCAAGGATCCTCTCATCTTACATAAATACATGAAGACACAGTGTTGCATTCCGCCATGCTCGGAGGCTGGCGCTAAAGAGAGAGGAGAATGCCAGGTACGGAACTTGGATTTTTATTTCCACTTCATCATGCCTATTTCCCAACAGGACATAGGATGGGGAGTTAAGTCCGGTTTTCTTACATGTTTTATCATCATTTGCATGCCACGTGCCACGGAGGCCCCCTCCGCAAAGCAAGTTGGACACCTTCTTGAGAAACTACACCATGTTTCCAACTTCCCTCTCCATTCCCAGATGCAAGAGTACAGCTCCCAATACCAATGGCTTCTAGAATGTCCCAACTGGGCCCTAAGAAGGATGGGTGGATCTGAACTTCAGTAGGCAGGCAGAAGACTTACCTAATATTAAGACGAAAAAGGAAAAGGATCACAATATTCAGACACTTATCCTAGCTCTCAGCATTACCAGGCAGCCTCAGGTAACACTGTGTTTTTCTGTATCAGGCCCTGCTTTAATTTCCTCGTCTTTTGTTCCAAGGTTTTCATTCTATGATCCTCCAGATTTAAGTGCACCGAAGCCTAGACACACTGTCGCTGCTTTTACAGCCAGCACGTCTTCTCGCTTTGTCCAACAGTGGAACTCTGTACTCCTAGCTACTCTCCCAGCCACCAAAATCCCATTTTAATAGTAACAAATATTTATTGAGATCCCTTCCTTTTGATTAATAAAAATTTTCTATAAAAGCCAGTGAAGGGCTGGGGAGATAGCTCAGTGGAAAAAGTGCTTGCCTGGCAAGCATGAGGTCCTGAGTTTGATCCCTAGTACCACCAAAAAAAAAAAAGAAAGAAAAAAAGAAAAGAAAAGAAAAGCCAGTGGCCACTGGAATTCAAATGGGAACTAGGAGAAAAAGTTGCACTGATGATGGGGGCTACATTCCTTTTCTTTTTCTTTTTTTCTTTTTTTTTTTTTTGTGCATTTTTTTTTCTTTTTTCTTTTTGCATTCCTTTTCATATAACTGAGAAAACTAGCTAAATGAGGCTCAGATTTTTTTTTTTTTCTTTTTCTAATGTGGTGCTGAGGCTTGACCCCAGACATGCACCCTGCCAAAGGAACTGCGTCCCCAGGCCTTTGTATTTTATTTTGAGGCAGCACACCACGAAAGCACACAGGGTGGCCTCCAGCTTTGCGCCCTCCTGTCTCAGCCTGCCCAGTAGCAAGAATTGAGGCTGAGGCAGCGCGCCTGGCATTGATGGGATTCTTGCTGTTAAACAGCATAGGGCTGGCGCTGGAGCTCAGAGGTAGAGCTCTTGCAGAGCACAGGTGAGGCCCTGGTTTTGAACCTCAGCATGGCAAAGAAAAAGAAAACTTTCATCTTAATGGGATTTATACAACTGATAAAAGAGGACAACCCCAGCTCATGTAATCTCTGCTCCATATAGTACTAGAATTTTTTTTTTCTCATTAAACATTTTATTCATGTGACCCCAGAACCCAGCAGAATCAAAATCAACCCAGTTAAACCCAGCCCGCCCGGCAACCCTCCTCCTGGTGGCCCGGCCCCGGGGTGAAGCGCTGGCTGCAGGACGGCTGCGGCCGCGTGGCGTCCAGGCTGGACGGGCGCCTTGCTCACACAGCGAGTACTAGAATTAAATATATTCGTATATACACATTAAATGGCTGTTGTGGCTACTATTGAAAGACACCATGGGCACAGATCTTCTAAGAATCATCTTAAGAATTTCTTCAGTGGGACTGGGGAGATGGCTCAGGGGAATAAGTGCTTGCTTGGCAAGCACAAGGTCCTGAGTTCAATCCCTGGTACCACAAAAAAAAAAAAAAAAAAAAAAAAAAAAAGAATTTCTTCAAAATGCTCCAAATCCAAAGTAATAAGGAGATGGAAATATTAGTTAACCTGATTTGAATGGTGCCTGTTGTATACATGTATTGAAATCTGTACACATACTTCACAAAATATATGCAATTATTTTATGTTAATAAAAATGTAAACAAAATGTTGATGGAGATGGAAATACTCCACTAATGTGATCATTGCATGCCATAGGCATGTGTGGAATGATGACACTGTATACCACACAGCTGTATACGTAACACAATAATCAACAACTAAAAAGTCAATACCAATGTTTATTTTAGGAAACATTAAAAAAAAAAAAAAAGCCACTTTGTCCTCAGAAGCTAGGAAAACACAAAAAAGAAAAAAAAAGTTCTCATGAATTTGTCCCTCTAACTGCCTGTGGAACAAGACAGGATGACACCCCGGCAGGCAGCACCCCAGCCGCAGTATTGTATGTATCGCAAATTAAATAGTTTTAAATGAATTCTAATCCTATTTCCTTCTCAGAAGAAAGTGGTCTGGTCATTGTTTTCTCTCTTCTCCTCTGTGTTTACAAAAGACCTGTATGAGCCAAGCATAGTGGTGCTCACCTGTAACCCCTGCACGCAGGAGGCTGAGGCAAGAGGATCGCTGTGAGTTCAAGACCAGCCTGGGCTAAAAGTGAGTGAAAGGCCAGCCTGAACTGCACAGCAAGGCCCTATTTCAAAAAGACAAAAAAATCCACAAGAAAACAAAACAGATTTGCATTCGGGCTCCTTTAACCCATTTTGAAAGCCAAGTTCCAGTACCATCCCGAGCTTCCACTCTGCTCCCCACCCATTTGACCCTTCACAGCTCCACCGCTGCCCCCCAACACCTCCAGTTTAGTTCCCTCCTCCAGTTACCAGGGCCCTTTCTCTTTCTGCCCCCTTCACGCCCAACAGTCTTGTTAGATGAAGTTTCTACTCTTACACCTACTCTTACTTTTCTTTTGCTTGACCAAATTCCTGTGTTTTTGCTGTTTCTCATTTTCTAATATTCTCTGTGCTTATTTGGCAGTGCTGCTGATCTGATCCAGGGCCTCACCCTAGTTAAGCAAACGCTCTTTCCCTGATTTACTGCCTCAGGCCTCGAATTTGTATTCTAAAGAAAATTATTTTAGGGCCAGCCAAATAGCTCAGCAGATTAAAGCAACTGCAACCAGGCGCAGGGACTGAGGGGTTTAATCCCTAGTCTTGCTGAGCTGGCCTGGCCCCCTGGGGCATGCTGAGATGGCAATTGAGACTGGGCATGGCGGCGTGTGCCTGTAATCCCAGCTGTTGGGAGGCTGCAAACAGGTGTATCGCTACAAGTCTGATCTAGCAGTGAGACCCTGAACACCCTGTAGACCCTTCCCTAAAACAAAAAAAAAAAAAAAAAAAAAAGAAAGAAAGAAAAGAAAAGAAAATTATTTTTTTAAAACAATGGATCTTCAATATCAGAATTAAAGGATCTGGTAAACACATTCACTAGAGACTGAAAGCTTTCCGGGTGTCCTGAACAGGCAAGAACTTCATCTTCCTCCGGAGAAGGTTGGCCCTGACTTTCTCTTCCCAAATTGCCCAGCTTCCACCGGGAGCTTGACTTTTCCACCGTTCATCCTTGTGATTCAAGAAATCTCTCCTTATACCTCTTTGGATTAAAGTGCCTGATTAGGCAGATCTGGGGTTCTAGTCCCGGCTTGCCCTGCTGGCCCCGCCCCTGCGGTGCGATGAGACTGGGATTGAGACTGGGCATGGTGGCCTGCGACTGTAATCCCAGCTCTTGGGAGGCTGAAAACAGGGGGAATCACTATGAGTCCAATCTAATAGTGAGAACCTGTAGACCCTATAGACCCTGTACTACATACTAAATAAATAAATAAATAAATAAATAAATAAATAAATATAAAAAAATTTCTCCTTCCTCCTCCAGTGAACAAGCTGCAAACTCAAGCGCGCACTTGGCTCCCTGGAGCCCAGCTCCACACACACTTTCTCTTGGTTTTTGGGGCAGATGGCGCAAACACCAGCTGGTTTCCCCACCTCAGGCTCTTACTTCGGGTGACATCAAGCAGTACAAGTTGCTAGCCACAAGCTCCTCCCTCATAGCCTCAGGGTGTTTGTGGCAAAAGTGAAAGGTTTAGCAAAATACTGTACATCTGGCTCAGAGGTGCAGTGACCCACACACTCTGAGGTTCCTCCTCCTTTGGTCCTGAGGCTGCGGACCCGGGCGGAAGGACAAGCAGCCTCCAGGACAGGAAGACTGGGACTCACCAGCTCCTTACTCGAGGTGCATTTGGGGATTGTGAGGAAGGGTCCCCGAAAGATCTGGAAACAGGAGGGGAGGAGCCAGAGCGCTGCAGAGGGCAGAGGGACGCCCTTGGGGTCTGTCAGCTCCAAGCAGGGCTTGGGTAAAATTCTGTGGATTGCTGCCATTCAGCTTTCTGAGGCTCGGCATTTCACCAGCAAGCAGCAGGGAAAGTGTTAGGTTACTGTTCTCTGGTAGAGAGCAACAGGTGGCCGCAGTGGTTTTTTTTTTTTTTTTTTTTTTTTTTTTTTTTTTTTTTTTTTTTTTTCTTCGTTTTACAAACCAGTCAAGCAGCACCAGAAGCGGCAAGCAGTCAGACAACAACTTCTGGGCAGAACCCACGAGGGAAAAAGCAAATGTTGTTTATATAAAGACACTTAGAAGCCACAGCTTCCTGTGAACACGTCCAACTTCACCTCACCTCAAGCCCCTCACGTTTGTTTTTTGTTTTTTTTTTTAAGAAGCTGATCATGGTTTTGTGCTTTTTTTT